ATCTTTGAATGTCCCCATTTATTCCCCCCTGTCCTTACCTTTGTACTTTCTGATAAATTTTTTCTTACTGGATGATTATAATTTCTGGCTCACAGTCTTCTCTATCCCTCTCCCTCCTGATTTGATGATACATTTTTTTTTTCTTTTTTGGTCAAAAAGAGTTTATTTAAAATGAAGCTAAAACTTTTTTTGCATGAGAAAGATTGAATAAACCTTACACAGAAGTAAAAGATTAATAAAACATTAAAAGGAGAGATTTCCTGTTAATTGGAAGAAACTGTATGATTTTTGTTAATAAAGAAGACAAAGTTGTATCTGCTTTCTTAACACTCAGGAATTAAGGAGGATTTTCCATGTCTGAAAAGAGGTTAGAATTTCTGGAGACAGAGTTCAGTACATTAAGAGGATACATCCAGTGGGCTGAATTGCTCTGAAAGTTTCTCAGCAGAATCCATAGGACCAGTATCTGCCACACGAAATGGGTGGCAGCAGGCAGTTGATGATACTTCCTTTTTTTTTTTTTTTAAGATTTTATTTATTTGAAAGAGAGAGCACGAGCATAGGGAGAAGCAAACTCCCTGATGAGCAGGGAGCCCAATGTGGGGCTCGATTCCTGGACCCTGGGATCATGACCTGAGCTGAAGGCAGATGCTCAACCAACTGAGCCACCCGGGCACCCTTTTTACTTCTTATTTCTCATTTACTTGTATGATCAAATAAACCCTTTCCCTTAAAGTATTGTTCCAATTCTCTCCCTTCCTTCCTCTGCCAGATTTTTTGGAAGAAAACTAATGGCTCAACTCCTTTAGTAGATATATCTTGATTTTTTTATAATCTGCTTTGGTTTCCAAAGTTTTTATTGGACAGCCCATTCCCTGGTCAAATGACTCCTAAGTCGTTAAATGCAGAGATCTCTTCCAGCCTATGTAGTATATGGTATTAACTTTCCTTTATCCTTTAAGACTTCTCTTCCTTTGCTTTTTAGTAAATGCTTTTTAAAGTTTTCACTCTTCTGATTACTCTTATTTTGTTCACATTAATATCCTTTAAAACTTATTTGCTTTTTCTTGAAACTTGGAATACTTTCCCTACCGTGTAAATCTGTGCTGTCTAATATGGGAGCTGGTAGCCAAAGTTCCATTGGAGATATGGCCAGTTCAGACTGAGATATTCTGTTAGTATATAATACACACTGGGATTTTCAAGATTTAAGGTGAAAAAGAGAGAATGTAAAATATCTCATTAAATTTTATTTATTTTTTAGATTATTTTATTTTTTAAAGATTTGGGGGTCCTATTGCATACAGCCTTCCACCATTTATGGACCCCTCCCCACTCTTTCTCTTCCCTCCTGGAACAACCCAGATTCCTCCTTTCCTAACAGCTTGTCAGTCCTTTTTTTAAAATTTATTTTTAATTTAAATTCAATTAATTAACATATAATGTATTATTGGTTTCAGAGGTAGAGGTACATGATTCATCAGTCTTATATAGCACCCAGTGCTTATTACATCACGTGCCCATCTTAATGTCCATCACCCAGTTACCCCATCCCCCCACCTCCCTCCCCTTTAGCAACCCTCAGTTTGTTTCCTATGATTAAGAGTCTCTTACTGTTTGTCTCTCTCTCTGGTTTCGTCTTACATGTTGATAATATTTTATATATATTGGGTTAAATAAAAAATATTGCTAAAATTAGTTTCACCTCTTTCTCTTTATTTTTTTAAAGATTTTATTTACTTGAGAGAGAGAGCATGAGTGGCGGGGGCAGGGGGTGGCACCCTGTGGGGAGGGGCAGAGGGAGAAGGAGAAGCAGGTTCTCTCCTGGGCAAGGAGCCCGACCTGGGGCTTGATTCCAGGACCCTGGGATCATGACCTGAGATGCTTAACTGACTGAGCCATCCAGGCGCCCGTTTCTCTTTTTAAATATAGCTGTTACATCTGTGGCTTGATTATATTTCTGTTCAACAATGTTGATATAAATTTTATCTTAAAGATCTTCCAGATCACTTTTCCATCTAATACAAATTTCTCTTCTGAATTGCAGTACCAGCCTTTTCAGCTTTCTGGAGCATTTACTACCCCGGCGTGCCCCCCCCCCCCCCCCCCCCCGCAACATACTAAGCTTCTTTAGAACCAGGGTAGTTCCCCATAGTGCCTTTCATATATTGGGATATAGAGATAAAAGAGATAGGAATATTAAAAATATATATACACACTAACATGAATAAATGACGTGGCTAGTATTACTACTTTATCAAAGAGGATACTTAAAGTAGATGATGCTGGTTGTGATGTTTTTGCTCAATCTGATGGGAAATATGAGGGATTGATGTGAAGGGGAGGAGAGACCTTACTCTACTCGGAGATATTAAAAATCTGACATGTACTTCCCCCAAGTATATTCAGTCACCCCAGGCCACTCTGATGGTTCTGAACTATGCTGTTGTGATTTTACCGCCATCTGGTGTCAGGATTAGGAAACTGTAGTTCAGTACTTTGTCTACTCCCCCACCCTGCCTCCTGCTGGACAAAGTAGGCAGTCTTTACTGGGCATGTGGGCCTGCTGCTCTTCTTCACCTAGATAAGTTACCGGTAAGAGCTCATTTAATTTCAGTGTAGGAAATCTTCTTACAGCAGTCTTTCCTTGGCTTCCCTGATAACTTCCTTACCGGTTTCCCTCATGTTTCTGTGGCTCTTCTCTTTCATTCTCAGATAGTCCATTTCTCTTCCAATGTAATTTTTTAGTCCTAGATTCTGGGCCCTACCCGAGGCTTTAAATACTGCCTATTTATAGAACAACTTATAGTTATAGCCAAAAAATCTCTTCTGATCTTGTCACTGATGTGTCTAGTTGCCTCCTAACTGGCTGTTACGTGAGCATCTCAAACTTAATGTGTTCAAATCCAAATGTGGATCTCTTACCACACCCCAGTTTCTCAAATCTCTTTTTCTCATTTCAGTAATTCATCATGCCAGAATTCTTGGAATCATCTTGGCATCCCCTGTCTCTTAACACTCATTAGTCATTCACCATGTCCCATTGAATCTATAAAGATGCACTCTTGTGCGTGTTAAAGTGCTCCCTGCTCTGGCCTTATCTAAGCTACCACTGTCTCTTGTCTGCATGAGTCAGCTCCTAATTAGTCTCCCTGTGTACACGCTTGACTGCATTCACATGTTTTATGTTAATTTGTTTAAACTGCCTCTTCTAGCATGAGAGGTCCATGACGGGGGAGTGACTGCATCCATTTGGTTTATCATTGGGTCCTCGGCCCCTGGTACAGGTCCTGAGACCTGTGTAATACATATGTAGCCACTAGGCTCTCAGTGATGTTGATATGGCTTCTGTAATTTTGCTGATTGAGTTCGAATGCATTAGAATTTCTTGAATGCTTTATTTTGGCATTAGTATTTTGTCTGAGTTCATTTATCCTAAATGAGTTTTAGCTCTTTTCTACTTTGGCCCAGAGAATTATAATTGTATCTGTAAGGACAATATATTTTGGGTTTTAATCTGCTAATGACTATTTATGTATTAGGGACTGCTGATCAATATGCTGAAATTTTCTGAACATTTGAAATTTCACGTCATTGGTTTGTCTCTTAGCATTCTTCTTTCTGAAATGCAATGTTCCTTAATTTTAATATGGAAATACACTTGTTAAATCTTCGCTTAAAACCTGTTTGATGCCAAGTGTTCCTTTAAATGGAGGCTCAGATCTTGATAGTTTCATTTAGTAATTTTGGTTTGCTTTGATGCTTTAAATCTTTTTAATTTTTTTTAAGATTTATTTGTGAGAGAGAGAATGAGAGACAGAGAGCATGAGAGGGAGGAGGGTTAGAGGGAGAAGCAGACTCCCTGCTGAGCAGGGGGCCCGATGTGGGACTCGATCCCGGGACTCCAGGATCATGACCTGAGCCGAAGGCCAGTCACTTAACCAACTGAGCCACCCAGGCACCCTTCTTTGATGTTTTAAAGTTAGTTTTGCTTTATAAAGTTTTACTCTTCGGACTTTCTACGTTGAATTGGATATTGCTTAATAAGGAAATTTAATTTGTAAAAGTAGAGGTGATTTAGTAAAAGCTGGTGGTTAGAGATAAGCAACAATCTGTACGCTAAGGATGCAAATTCAGGAGAGCAAGGACTTAATAGGTATATACCAGGGTTTCTCAGCCTTGGCATTACTAACATTTTGGGTCAGATTTTGTTGTGTGCTTGTATCGGACTTGTCCTAGGCATTGTAGGGTTTTAGTGGCATCCCTGGTCCTACCCACCAGCAGCAACCCCACCTCTCCAGTTATGACAACAAAAATGTCTGTAGAGACTGCCAAATTGGAACGTGGGAAGCAAAATCACAGCAGTTGAATACCAGTAGTATGTAGTATACTTAGAAGTGGATAAGAGATCATGAAATGTCTCACTTGGGAAATCTTTGATATTCTCTAGATGTCTTTGAGAGTATGGTAGCTATGTAGAATATTGTTAATGGCAAACAGAAGTAGAGACTTTATGACTATGTTTTTCACATCATAACATTTCTGTGTTTACTTAGAATAAAGTCACTTGATCTTAACCACCTGGTTCTATCCCCAAACTGAAAAAGTGTACGCATTCTAAATCATACATCACTGATAAAGTTTTTTTGTGGACTGACATTAGAAGTTAGGTGATGGGGTGCCTGGGTGGGCTCAGTCAGTTAAGCATTGACTCTTGGTTTCAGCTCAGGTCATGATCTCGTGGTTGTGAGATTGAGTCCCACATTGGGCTCTGCGCTCAGTGCAGAGTCTGCTTTAGATATTCTCTCCTTCTCCCTTTGCTTCTCCCCGCTGTTTGTACTCTCTCGATCTAAAAAAAAAAGTTAGGTGGTGGTTAAAAAAAAGGGGGGGGGAGCCAAGATTACAGTGTAAAGAGTAGCTTATAATCAGAGCTTTTGCCATTTGTATTGTGTATGTAAGTTAGAGGATATAATTCGCTTTTTTTTTTTTTTTCTTCAAAGGGACATGAGAGATGGCTTTAGAAGAAAAAGTTTCTATTCTTCCCATTACACGAGAGACCGGTCTCCTCATAAAAGAGACACTCCTTTTTTCAGAGACTCACCTGTAGGTCGGAAGGATTCTCCACACAGCAGGTCTGGCTCCAGTGTCAGTAGTAGAAGCTACTCTCCAGAAAGAAGCAAAACGTACTCTTTCCATCAATCTCAACATAGAAGTATGTATTTTTAAAACTTCTTTTACAACCTCCACTAATGAGAATGTACTGATTCAGATTGCCTTATAGGTATTGTAAGATATATTTTTAACCTTTTATTTTGAAAATTTTGAAACATAGAAAAGTTGAAAATATAATGAATACTACACACACACATTTTTTGGAACCATTTCAAGTTGCAGTTCACATTGACATTTCACTTCTAATTCTTCAGCACAGAAGAGGTGTGTTTGTAATCATGTTGGAAAGTTATATACTTTTGTATTTTCTGCTAGTTCCTGTGCTAGTCCATCCTCTTTAATCTTCTGTCACTAGAAGATATCTGTCTATCTGTATATATATTTGATAGTATATTTTTCATGAAAAATATCAGTGATTTCCCCTAAATATAAGGTATATAATCTTATAGATTTTAGAGCTAAAAACCTACTTTAGGTTCATTTTTTTCCAACCTCCAATTTGTTGTTGTTTTTTTTTAATTTGGAATACCTAGACGTGCATGGCATTCTGTGCAATCATGGCCTGTCATTCTGACTGAGTTGCTTAGTATGTGTTGGAATAAATAAATGAAGCAACTTATTTTCTAGATAATCTGTTTTAGCTTTCTGGACTCCACTATCTGCAGTTGAGCTCATTCACAAACATTTCCTCATGCCTTCTTAACTTTGATAGAAGAATTAATATGTCATAAATGAGTTAAGATGGTGTGAGCAGGTTAAGGTGAGAGAGATTCTCACTGTGGTAGTTAGAAAAACATGTGATGGAGGAAATCAACATTTGGGCTCATCTTTTATTTCAGATTTCTACAACTATCTTCTAGGTAGAGGGAATTTATAAGCCAAGATACAGACACCAGAAAAGTCAAGGGTATTTCTTTTTCTTTACTTTTTAACTTTCTTCCTATTAACTGTTTTGTTTTTGTTTTTGTTTTTGAATAGTTTTAGTTTAATAGCATTTGCTTCCTGCATGTTGGGAGTGATGGAAGATCACTTCAAATCATTGGATTGTCTCCATTGTAGCTGTTGCTGGATTCCAGTATTTAACAAACATTTATCAATTTTTTGCTGTTTTCAGAGCTAGGTAGAGTGGGGCTTCCAAAAAACATATTTTTGGATACAAGTGTATGAATGGTCGTACAGGAGGTTAAGCATGTCAGTTGAGGTAGATTTAAAACAAAATCATTTACATATATGCCTGATTGCTTAAAATAAGCATATAGTTCCAGGTAACTGAAAGCTTTACTATGGAGTTCAGGGTCTATAGTTTGATATTTTCTCATTGTTTCACTTTCTTCTTTCCCTCCCTCTCCCCTTTCAAGAGGATAAGTAACATCTGAGTTCTTTTTTTTTTTTTTTTTTTTAGATTTTATTTATTTATTTGACAGAGAGAGACAGAGAGAGGGAACACAGGCAGGGGGAGTGGGAGAGGGAGAAGCAGGCTTCCCATTGAGCAGGGAGCCTGATGTGGGGCTCGATCCCAGGACCCTGGGATCATGACCTGAGCTGAAGGCAGACGCTTAACGACTGAGCCACTCAGGCGCCCCAGCATCTGAGTTCTAATGCACACTCACATGCACAGATATAATTAGCTAGACACCTTCTAAGAAGATACTTTTTTTTTTGGATGTATATGACTTAATCCAAATCTAATGATTTGATTAAGAGGAGGAAAGTATCTTTGGAAACGGATTATGAAGGCTTTTGAACAAAACATGAGTAAAATGGGAGCTTAAGATTCTTACTTGACAGCTTGTAGTGAACCTGTTACTTAAGATAGTTGTTAGTGAATTCATCTTATTCTTTCCATTTCTCCTCTGAAACAAATTTTGAGGGAGGCATTTTTTTGTCTGCTTTCAGCCTGGTAGTTAGTGCTAAAAACTTTAAAATCTTGTGATGAAATGTAGAGGAACCATGTAGAGGAACTCCTTAGGGTCTCCAGCAGACTTTCCCCTTTGAGGCCTAATACCTTTACTATCTGGAGTGATAAAAAGATAATGAAGAAAGCTGGGAGACTAAAATATGGTGCAAATTGAGTGAAATAGAGCATACAACTTTGGTAATGTCTTTATGCTTATTTTTTTTAAGTCCTTGAGCTTCTAAAGTAAAGTTCTTCTATCAAAAAAAGTTTGTTCTGGAAAACTCTCTTTACAAGTTACTTGGGTTGATTCCTTAACTGTTTGGGCTGAGCTATTAAAATGTTTTTCTATACTCCTTTCATGTAAATAGTTTTCAGAGTAGTTACATAAAATCATCTTGCAAAATTTAATGGAGAAGTCTTATTTTAAACAATAATTGGAAAAAGTAATTGTTATGTTACATATTTGTGATACCAGTTCTTGCTTTTAATCTAAATGTGACAGATAATGATGGCACCTTGCTTTTCTTCAAAAAAGAACTGAGAAACAGGGTCCTTAAATTATCAGTTATTTAAACTGGGTTAATTAGCAACAGTGTGTTAATTTAGTTTTTTAAATGTAAATTGAAATTTTGTCAAAGATTTTAAATGTTTCTACAAATAACAAGTAAAAATAATTTTCCTGCTCTCCTTATGCCCTCATTTTGCTGTTTGACTTTTAATTTTTTGCTTTTTGTTCACATTTTTCAGTGTAATTTTAATAATCACTAGTAGTGGGGAGCCTGGGTGGCTCAGTCGTTAAGTGTCTGCCTTCGGCTCGGGTCATGATCCTAAGGTCCTGGGATCGAGCCCCGAATCGGGCTCCCTGCTCAGTGGGGAACCTGCTTCTCCCTCTCTCTCTCCCCCTGCTTGTGTTCCCTCTCTAGCTGTGTCTCTCTCTGTCAAAATAAATAAATAAAATCTTAAAAAAAAAAAAAAAAATCACCAGTAGTTTGGCCATGGTAACCATTGAAGGACTAATTCTTCATAATTCTTCTGTGCATTTAATATATCTCTTATGTGATTAATTATAAGCCACAAAATGATTTTTGCTACTTTTTTATCTCAACTACCTGTTTCCCATTTTGTGCTTACGTGCACATACACATGTCTACGTGTGTATTTTATTAAATTTCTTCTACTTAGCCTTTTGAGTTAATCCTGTGAACCTTGTACTGCTTTAGACTAATTATTCTCCTAAATCAAAATGTTATTTTCATTCTGTGCTTTTTAAGAATTTTCTGCCTTTAGCTTAATTGGACTAACATGTTCATAATTGGCACTATAGTAGTCACTATAATATTTTTTGTTCCTTTTTGTTGTCCATATTTACACACTAAGTCCTAGTTAACCTCATTGCTTTTCCCTTTATTATGATACCATTCTAGTTAAAATTGTTGTATGTATATCTTGTCTATTTCTACTTGAAGTTTATTTTTATTCCTATTAATCTAACTAAATATCTCCCCATTTGTGAACTCTCTCTCAGATATTTATTTCCTTTTTTCTCCTCTTTCTCAGTTGAATCCCATTGTTCTCCTATCTTACTCTTTTGTTTAGGATAATAGCACTAATAGTGACACCAGAAATCACTAAGTTCAGTCTCCCATACCCTGAGGTTCTTTGTTAAAATCCTTCCTGTGGTAAATTTACTATATCACAGTCCAGTCCTTCTTTCCTTGTATAGTTCATTTTTTATAAAACAATTAAAATCTTTTCCTGTAACATCTATGTAATACTAGATATTTGTCTTAGAGCCATAAAAATGTTTCATCTTTTATGTATTTGAAGAGTACCATCATAATCTTCTCAGTTTTTTCCCCCTTTGGTTTAAATATATTTAGTTCCTTCAGCTATTCCTTTTATTTGACATGTTTTCAGAATTTTGCTTCCTTAATTTTTTTTCTGTTCCTTTTAAGTTGTGATGCAGAAGTGAACTTTTATCAGCCGCACTGTATCACTGGCCCTTATTGAAACTGTAGAAACCTAAGCCATTTTCATATATATTACTATTAAACAAAATGCCCTTCAGCCTGTACTTTTTTTTTTTAGATGCAATTGCTTGAGTGTAGTTTATATATTAAAAGAAATCTAAGAATGCTAAATATCATCTAATTAACTTTGACTTATTACTCTCTTCTGTAGAGGTCTTAAAATCTCATTTAGTGATCCTGTATACTTGCAGTAGATAAAAGTAGCTCTGTTTCATCGTCAAAGGACATATGCTTTGTGTTTTGTATTAGTCCTTAATAATTATCTTGAGTAGCATACAGCCAAATACAGAAACCTCTAGAGACCTCTGTCTGTAGACCTCAGCCATTTATCTGCATTGTTTTCAACCAGTTGTGATCCCCCATCTTGTCTTCCTTTTCTCTTGAGGATTTCATGGAAGACTTTGTCAGGTGCTTTCTTGAAACTCTTAAGTTAGAAAGCATTTTCTCTATTAAAACAGTGACATGGGGCGCCTGGGTGGCTCAGTCATTAAGCGTCTGCCTTCGGCTCAGGTGATCCCAGGGTCCTGGGATCGAGTCCCACATTGGGCTCCCTGCTCCACGGAAAGCCTGCTTCTCCCTCTCCCACTCCCCCTGCTTGTGTTCCCTCTCTCGCTGTGTCTCTCTCTGTCAAATAAATAAATAAATCTTTAAAAACAAAAACAAAAAAACAGTGACATAAGGTTGCCTTGCATTGTAAATCCATTGTGTCATGATTATTTAAATACATAGAAACTACCTCTTTGTTAATTCCTTTTAAACATTTGCCTATGGATTAATGTCAGATTTATCACTATGCTTATACATTAATTAGGCTGTGTGACATTTTGGTAGATTTTTAAAAATATTACTACAGAAGATTTGCGAGTTTATTGTTTTGGTTGGTCTGTATCTGTGTTTCTATAGTTCTGACTTTGGGCCCAGTATCCCTTTATTTTCTTGATACCAGCAGCCATTATTAAATATATTTATTTAATTCTATGTAAGTCTATATAGAAGATAATGTTAAAGAAGGATTATTATTCATTAGTGTTTAGTCCTTTTTGAAGGCACATCTACTAAAATAACTGAAAATGTCCAAGAATTAAAAATACATTTTGAGAAGAGTATATTTGG